TTTTAACTCTGAAGGTAACTTACCAAGGGATTCGGTGAGTTTTCCGTCACTTGGCATTTTTAAATGAAGACTTGATGACTTTCTAAAAGGTACATTCTAGCTCATCCAGAAGTTATGGGCTCAATGCAGAAACTATTGGGTGGGTTCTCTGTACTGTGTTATGGAGGAGTTCAGTCTATATTATCATAATGGCTCCTTCTGGCCTTAAAAGTACAAGAAACCATTTCTATGCCCTGCTGAGAAGGGGATTCATCCTCTGGCAGTACTGTGGCCAGCAAATAGAACAAGGGGAGGAAGCTTGTGTCTGCTTGATCCTGGGGGCCAGTTCAGTCCTTGAGCTAGTAAGATCAGACCCCAGATTTACCTCAATATGCACCTCAGCTGCTGTAGTCCCTAAGGGCCTTGTTGAAGCTGGGGAATAATCAGGCGTAGGAATCCTTGGTCCATGACTCCTCCTGCCCTTGGCCCAGAATGCCCCCAGCACTGGTGAATCCTGCAGGGCATCTGCAGAGCTCTTATGGGGTCCCATGTATCCGGGTATTCCTCAGGAATCCTAAAGGCTACTCTACAGCCCCTTTGCGCCATGTAGCCAGCACACAGGTGCTCTAGAGCAGTGAAGGATTCCCCCGAGTGCTAGTCTCTGACTCTGCCCAGGCTTCCCGTTACATGCAGTATATATTCTGGGCAGTGAAGGCACCACACTCCCTTCTTAGACCTGTTTTTTTTTTCTGGATACCTTTCTCCATTGAAGTGGTCCTGTGTGCTGTACAGGAAGCCATAGGCGCCGACTCCATGGGTGCTCTAGGGCTGGAGCACCCATGGGGAAAAAATGGTGGGTGCTGCAGGAGCCAGCTTCCCACTCCCTCCCAGTGCCTCCCACCCATCACAATCAGCTGTTCCACGGCATGCAGGAGGCACTGGGGGGAGGGAGGAGCGAGGATTGGGCAGCTTGGGGGAGGGGGCGGAATGTGACGTGAGGCAGGAAGAGGTGAGGTGGAGGTGGGGGTTTGGAGGAAGAGGTAGAGTGGGGGCAGGGCAGGAGCAGAGCGGGGGTGGGAAGAGGTAGCGCGGGGGCTGGGGCTTGGGAGAAGAGGTAGAGTGGGGGCAGGGCGGGAGCGGTGGTGGGAAGAGGCGGAGTGGGGGTGGGGCTTGCAGGAAGAGGTGGGGTGGGGTCTGGGGCAGAGCTACAGGGTCGAGCACCGCCTGGTACATTAGAAAGTTGATGCCTTTGCAGGAAACCTCAAAGTTTTACCTGGAAACCTTTGCTCCACAACATGAATCCCAAACCTTCACCCCAGAACCTGAATCTCCAGCTTCTACCCCATAAAACACACACAGGGAGCTTTACTTTAAAACCAAAATCTTTTCCCAAAACCTGTAAACTTCATCCCACAATTGAACCATCACCAAAGTCTTGAACTTTCTCTACAAATTCAAATCTAGGTCTATATGCCCAAACTTTATCTACAAAACTGAACCCTTCAAAGCCAAGAACCCTTGGAGCATATGGAATTGAAAACAGATTGTATCTCTCCCTAGCGCCACCTTGCCCTGCCCAACTCCCCTAGCCTTTCTATATCTCTGTGCTTTCCCGTTTCCTCACTTGAAGGATGCAATACTCCACATGCTCGGAGTGGCCTGTTGTCACTGGATGTTGTCAGCCCAGTGCTTAGCCAGGGAGCACTGCAGTAAGGGGAGGGTGAGAGAAACTGAATCTGGGCGATTTCCTCAGCCCTTTTCTCTCCAGAGCAGACAGACAACCCCACCCAGATTTCTGGCTCCTGCTAGTGGACTACGTGTCATGGGAGGGGATATTGTCAGTAACAAGGCAGTGTGTAGGGAGGCACTGAGGGAGGGAGGGAGCTGAGCAGTGGTACTTGCTGCAGCTGAAAGACAGATATAGCTGGTATATGGGGCGGAAGGGAAGCCAGGCCTTCTCCATGTCTCCCCACTTCCCTCTATGCCCAGACACATCTCACCCCAGTGCACTCTGAGAACACAGGCAGCAGTAGCATTTTGGCAGCCGCCTTCTGCCAAGGTGTGCTAAGGGGTAGACAGTGCTCCTGGGGCCTCCTTCTCCTTCCCACACACAACTCAGTGGATTCACACAGAGCAGCCATAACAGAACCAGTCTCCACTCCGTTCCTCAGTGTTCCCCACCTATACAGTGGGGAGAATTATAGTTACCAATGGTACCTTCACAGAGGCATTGTGAGGCTCAGTTCATTAATGTTAAGGCTTCAAAGTTCCTAAGCTGGAAGATGCTAAAGGAAGAACTTGGCTACTACTGAGATGACTAATCAGTATAAATACCTAGAAAGAGACAAACTTGGAGAGAGAGGGCACGAGAGAGCTAGTACTAACTTTATTTTCCAATCAATAACAAATTTTAAAACAACCATAATGAAGACAGATTTTAAAATGTAAACTATTTATTTGTATATAAATAAATGTCTTAAAGCTGCCCAGTAATAAATGGCAAAGTCATCTGTGACTCTGAATAATGAAGGAAAATGAAAGAAAAAATCTAGGTAGAAAAAGGAAAATCACTAACATAAGGTCAGCATTTCAGCTACACAAGCTGAAGCTACAATTCCTCAAAACCTAACATCTAATCCCAAGTGCAACAGAACTGTGAGCAAAAGGCAGCACTGAAGATTTATGAAGAATAAGTTGCCAACAAACTTGGCTACCTTTTGCTCCTGAGATATACAATATAAATGGTTACAGAGAAAACAGGAGTTGTATCATACTTGGATTTTGATCCAATATTTTATGAGGTGTTTGTATGATTCACCAACCTAACCCCCAGTGTAAAGAGTGCTATGTTGAGGGAAGGGCTTCTCCCATCAACATAGCTACCGCCTCTTGCAGAGGTGAGAAGCTCTCCTGTCAGCATAGTAGCAGCTTCACTAAAGTGCTGCAGCTTTATAAGTGTAGACCTGCCCTCACTCTCAGTCATAATTCAAAGTGACTGGATATGAGAACTGCTATGTGCAGCTAAGAACTGTCAGAAGAACTGTAAAGAAATCATGCTGGCAAATGGCAAAGTAGAAGGTGGGGAGGTGTCGAGCAGGACTGTTCCAGGTCCAATCTTATTTAAAATCTTCATGAATAATCTGGAAGAGGAACTAAATGGCATGGTTAATGAAAACTCACAGACGATAACTAGGGAAGAGCAGTGAATACCAGACGGGACAGAGAAATAATAAGAAAGAGACCTACAGAGAGCTGAGACTGGGACAGAAAATAACAGGATAAGAAAATAGCAGGAAACACAGCTAACTTGTCTGAGGAAAAGAATCCAAAATACACTCAGTGGGAGGAGAATCCTAGGACAAAGAGATGCTTAAAAAGACCTTGAAAAGCTACAGCAGACAGCAAATTAAACATCTGTGTGTAGTGTAACAGGCAGTAAAAAGGCCAATATAGTTTTGGTATATGCAGAGGCATCACTTCATGAGTCAGGAAAGTGATAGCCCTCTTCTGTGCCTCTGGTGCAAGCACACTTGGAGTATTACAACTCTGAGCACCACATTTCAAGAACAACTACTGGCAAACTGGACGTAGTTCAGAGAAAAGTACCAGAAATGGTTAGGTGGCTGGAGGGACTCACTGACAAGGAAAGACTAGAGGCGTTAATGATGTATGTTTTGTGAAAGCAACATCTAAGGTAAAGGGGCACAATAGTACGGACATATCTGCAGGGTGTTCACACCAAGGAAGAGAGAAATTATATTAGGTGGCAAAGGGGGTACAACTAGAAGTATTGGGATGAAACTAAGGTAAAAATCATTTAGAATGAATAGCAGCAAACCCTTCCTGACAGTGAGATGTATTAGGCCTTTAGTTTTTCAAGTGTTGGAAGCTATGTTGGTTGGCAGATGTAAACTAGATTGGAAAAGCTGCAAGGAGATGGCAGCAATGTTGGCGACTCTATAGGGGTATCTCCCCTCTGAGTCAACATTAAACCACTACCCCAATACACTGGTATGGGCATCATGCAGCTAGAAGTGCAGTTTTTTTGGATTAAATGTAAAGCCAATGTCTGGATTACTCAAGGTCATTATAGATCTCATCCTGCTTAAACCTTCCCTGTGGTTTCATCTGACTGCTGGATTTTTCTGCATGTTCTGTCCTAACCTGCTGTCTAGCATGTTGTGAACCATCTCAAAGATGGCAGCATTTCATTGGTAATTGAATGACTCTTATATGTACAGTCTGTAACATGCTTTGAGATGAAAGACGCTGGAGAAATATCAGCATGAAAATGAATACCGCAGCTAAATGACAAGATAAGGGAAGAGGGCAGCAGTGTCAGGACAGACATTGTTGGGCTCGCACAATGACCTCTGTTCTGTGACACAATGGCTGCAGATGAAGTGTCATCTTTTTATAGTGGAGTGAAAAAGCTCTCTCACCTGCCTAGAATGAGATACTGCCCCTATCCTTGTATATGTCTCCAGCATGCTCTGGCTTTACTCCTATCAATGATTTTGTACCTCCACTCCTGCTAGGATACTGTTTCCTCAGACGCAAGTCCCTTAGATCCTCCCCCCAGAAATAAAACACTTCCACCAGCCAGAATGGCAAGACCACATTCTGTTTAATAATAATGCCATAAGGACTGTACATGCCATTTTGGCCTACATCCTCTCCTTTTTCAGTGGCTGCTGCCACACATACGTATGGAGGTGTGTAGTGCCATATAGTTTCCTATGTCCGTATGTATAATTTATATATATATGTATATATATATAGAGAGAGAGATAGATAGATATTTATAGATAGGGTATATATATATAGAGAGAGAGATAGAGAGATATTTTTTCTCATAAGTCATATTATCAAAACATGCGAAGAATAACCAGCGAAAAGATTTCACACAAAGAAGTTTTGGAGCTGGAAGACCAAAGGCAAATCAGTTTTGTTTTTGTTTATTTGGGGGTGGCATGGGGCAAGGCAGGGGTAGGAGGGTTATAATGACAGACCCCCTTCTCTTCCTGCTCTTTCTTTCCCCATGAAGAGCCATGGCCCTCCACAAAATGCATCCTTGAGGGATGAAAAGAATCTCCATTCAGTCCCCCACAAAATCACACACAGCTGGGGAAGAGGGTCTTTACATTGCCCTGCTACAACCCCTCTTTGTCCTGTCCCCTTATGCAAAAGCAGTTTCATATGTTGAGAATACAAAATCTTAAGCCCCAAACCTTTGGTTGCTTTTAAACATGCTTCAAGACACCACTCCCCATTCTCCCACCCACCCATACCACCCAGAGATCACTGTACCTCCCACTCCCCAGCCCTTACCCACCCAACCCCGAAAAGAGCTTTTAAAAAAAGCCCCGCTCATTATAAAATGATTTTTGAGGCTCATTCTGTAGTTTGGAGGATCCTGGGGACCCATTGGTGACTCCCCCAATCATGCAAGACACCCACAAAACCAGAGAAGATAAACAGAAACCATCAAACAAAATACACCTGCAAAGCTGCTTCTGCTTTTCACACTGCTCATCTGTACACTACATGGAAACAGTGGATGGAAGTGGAGTGGATGCCTATGCTTGCCTGGAATGGACTGTGCACAGCATTTAGGTCAAGAACCTAAATGGGATTTGTGACCTCTAGAAAGGGAGCAGGGCAACAAGGGGAAATGCTTTTACTGGTTTTCTATCCCTCCTGCAAAGGCCTCTGGGGTTCAGGTGAACCTGGACTGGATGGCTGTGTTATCCTGGAATTAACTGTCAGTGCATGACCTTTCTCCTGGGTGGAGAAGAACTTTGCCTGACAGGATGGACACTAGTTGTACCCTTGGGAGGAGCAGAACCAAGACTGGATTTCTGAAGACACCGAGCATTGACTCAGTGCAAGGTGGAAGTGGAGGCTGAGTTCCCACCCAACCAGTGATAGAAAGATAGCAACCCTCCCTTCTTAAGTGTACCACTTAGCGTAACCAGAAGCCCTTACCATCATTCTAGAACAGGCAGGTGCCTTGCTGTAGGGATAACCTGTCAGTCCCTACATTTCCAGGAGAAATCCTAGGGTCTGGGTGGAAATATTGTCCAAAACAGGGGTCTGGTCTGGTTACATTGCTTCAATTCCAATCCAGATCTGTCTGTGCTGGGGAAATACAATGCACAAACCCAGTTGGTCCATATTACTCTTGTACAGACCTGTTCATATCCATACAAGGGAAGGACAAAAATGTCCCAAAAAGGCCTAACTGGTACACATCACACACACTTGAACATATCTTGCACTGTCTTGCTAGGAAAAGCCATATATATAACAGAGACCCAGATGGTCTCTATGCTCCAATGCAGACCCTGCCATATCTGTGCTGGTAACACAGTGAACATCTGGTCTGTATCACTTCCCAACAAACCTAGAGAGCTGTCTGTGCTTGCAGGGGCCTGTGATCTTCGGCAAGGGGCCAGACATTCTGCATAGTGAGAAACACTGTGCTGGGGAGAGAGACAGAAAGATACTGATCTGGCACAGATGTCTATCACTCTCCTACAGATCCAGCCCTATCTATCTCACCTGGGGAGCGACTGAAATGAAAGAGGGCCCCATCTGGCTTTCATTCATAACTGACACTGCCTCTGCTGTGCTATCTAATTGGTGCACATGAGATCCATATTCTACATATCACTTTGTTTATCCTTCTCTTCCCTGAGTTAAGGCACAGCACATCCCTGTCAGACTCCCTCTTCTGTGCTCCAGCTAAACAGCAAATGTTAATTCCTTTCCACTTCTCTCAAGACAACATTAAATAAGCTGATTGCAAATCACTGGCGATCGCGGTATTTGAAAGGCTCTTTTGGTAACAGCAGCTTAAAATGACATTTCCCATTGTTTAGAAATGTCTGAACCAAGCCATGAGGAAAATCCAAAGTGGGGTGAGATGGAGAAACTTTCCCTCATACCAGCTAGTGTGAGTTGGCAGGAAGGAACAGTTCTAGGCTGTGAGAGAGCAAGGACCTTCTCCTTACATCGGAAGGCTGAGGTGACAACTTTCTGGATTGTGCAGCTAAGCTTAATGCCAGCCTGTGCTACTCTCCAGAGTATTGAGGGGTGTTTACTTTTTACTTATCTTTTCCTCTATCAGGACAATTAATCTGACATTTAAGCTAAATGGGACTGAGTCTGGTGATTCAGGGCCTCACTCTGCTCCCACAAAGGCAAAGTCTCAGCTGACTTTAGTTGGAGTAGGATTGGGCTCTTACTTGGGGCAGTTGCAGTATTCTGGCTGTTCAGGGGAGACAAGGAAAGAAGTAGGTAACTTCTTGAGTATGGAGAAATCTCCCCCCCTCCCCCTCTTTGTCTTCCAGAAGCGCGAGCTAGATGGCCTATGCATAGGCTTGGAAGGATTAGATTTTTATTGGTAATGATCAGTAAATGCTGATTTCACTGTACACACACAAACTAATGAAAAAATATTTCCATTGACAAATGAAATTTACAGCTAGGCAAAGTAAGAAAAATGCTGCTTGAGAACTTTGAGTTTGATCTAAAGATATTTACTTTGTATATTTTGACATGACATGTTGACAATTTGTGTTTTAACACTTATGAAGCTATATAACTTTTTGAATCTCAACATCTGTCATTAAATAATCATTGTCTGACCTCCCTCATTTTCACCTCCCATAATTTCATGCAACTGTGAAAACTGAAATAGATAAAACTAGAAAAAATTATTTAAAATAATATTGATATTATTCATCAAAATTATATATTAAAAATCAAATTCTGCCAAGCCTACTTAGGCAGTACCAAGCTCTGTAACAGCACTTGAGCTACATACACCAAGTTGGGAGAGTCTCTTTCTTATTCTGTGATTAACTCCTCCAGCTCCTTTGCAGGGGTGTTATTTTTTAAAAAGCTTTTCTCATCTTTTTTGCTGACATATTTCCTCTACTTCCTCCTTTTCCCTGCTGCCTCCCTCCCCTCTCCAACACACACACCTTTTCAGATTTAGAAAATAGTGTCCTTTTCCCTGGCTGTCCTGCCGGCTCCACAGACAATTTCCATTTGCTGGACACAGTAAGGATGGTCCAGGCTTTAGCCATGCACATGGCCAGCCTATACATCTCAGGGCTATTCCAAAACTCAAGTTACCTTGGAACTGGCATGAAAATAGGCATGTACCTTGGCTGCAGAAGCTGTATCACCCCAGGAACCCACCACAGTGCCCAATACTTCCAACAGACTTGCCCCCAGGACAGGACTTATCAGTGGTGCTTACCTTTCCCTGTCAGCTCTGAAGTCCCAGCGTAGTCAAAGAAAAGGGGTGGAACTGGCAAGGGTGACTAGCCACTGCCTGAGATCTGCCAATTCACATGGAAACCGAAGAGCTGCCAGATGGGAATGACTGTCAGTCACTACAAAGTAGGAACAGATTGGAACCAGTCATCTAGAAGTGATAAGATCTGTGTCCCCTTCCTCAACTCCCTGAGCCATTTCCCCAGACCTAAGGATGTATCGGAACTGATACCCTACAGATGAAAGGCACCTTCCCCTTGTCCCATTCATCCAGCCAGTTCCCCCAACCTGGAGCCAAATTGAAAATTGTGCTTTAGAGATGAAAGACCCTATATCTCACTTCATGATTCCCCTGAGCCAGCCACTCACAGGGACACACTGGAACTGGTGCCCTAGAGGCAAAGATTCCAAATCCCATTACTCTGGACTAGCCAGTTCTTACCTACCCTGTCCCCCCACACTCAACTCAGCCCAACCCATGAACAACTTGTAGGTTTAACAACAGTAAAGTGAACTGACCAGATGGTGGCAGTAGAGGGCACAGGAGTGAGAACAAGCTCTGTCTGTCTGAGAGCTGATTCAACTACTAGAGTCACCCATGTTTAAAGAGCACTTCTCTGTTCAGCAAAGAACAGAAGTCATGGCTCCTACTAAAGTCTTAATGGCTTTATGGCAAACAAAGGCAGGGAACCCTCTAGCTACACTGCTTCAAGCAATTTCAGAAATATTTCATGAGTGCAGCTCTGCTCACAAGTGACGACTCCAGATCAAACTTGCTTACTTGACAAATAAAAAGATGTTTGTTTCTGACTGTCAGCCCTGCAAACTCAGCCTGGGCTCTGAGAGTCAAGCTGGACTCTTTCCAGATCATCCCCTAGAATAAAGAATTTGCAAGTCAAATTGTGTCCCCAATGACACCTGTGGTAACCCCATGGCCCTCAGGAGGTTTGCACAGGTGCGACTAATTAGAACATAGAAAACAATTCTGCAGATGCTGCACAAGAAGGAATAGGTTCCATTACCCTCTTTCTGAGCTAGGCTGGCTCTGCAGGGATAACTTGAGTAAAAACCAAGTCAAAATCTAGTGCCAAGATTTTCAAAAGGGACTAGTAACTTTGCATTCCTCAGTTTTTGGATACTTTCAGTAGACCTGATTTTCAGAAAGTGCCAAAAATCAGGGAGCCTTAAGGCATCTGAAATTGGGCCCCCCAAAATTGATGAATCCAAAACCATGTGTCACTTCTGAAAACCTTAGCAATTTGAGAAGATCTGATTCTGGACACAGGTAGGGTGCAAGTCTGTTGCATAAGAAAAGCCCATTTTTATACAGTCACTTTTTAAGGTAGAATCACATTTTGCAGGAGACGCAAAGTGACCTATCAGTTTGTGATTAATATTGTCCATTTGGGCCTCACTTAGGCAATGGTTGGAGGCCATGGGAATGCGGTGTCCAGTCAGGTTCCTGGCAATGAGAAAGGCATGTGTGTTCTTGGATGGTGGGGACATCGGGGGAAGTTTTTTTGTGTGTGTGTGCAAAAAAGGTAAGATCTTTATTTGCAAAAAAGCAAGATCTTTATGGAAAAATCTTATACAATTTAATAACTTGAAAATAATAGGTTTCTGTAGAAATTACTCTAAACACCTGTAGGATTTAATAGACAATGAGATCCCATCTATAAGCTTTTTGAAACTGGGCTATAGAATTCTGTAGCAGAAGTATGATTCTCTAGCTGTCAGAAAACTCTGTGGGAAGGTTTTCACTTGCTATTACATTCTGTGGGATTTTCATAAGGTAAATTTCTTTTCTTTTTCTTTTTTAGTCTTCGTTTTCCATGTAATGTGTGTCCCTCTGTGATTTCTCTCCTATGGAGAAAATGCACCTCATACATTTGTCACACATCTTACCAAATGCACAACTTGTCTTCATTAAAAAAAAAATAGACCTAACCAAGATTACCCCCTTGTCCTGGTCCTGTGAATGACAAGGTGGGAGCAGGATACATTTGAAGATACACTGAAATATAGTTACCGTAAACATCCAGGTTGGTCCTGGCTAGGCCCTCAGGGCAGAATGGTTCGGAAAAATAAGAAGCAGGCTTATCGAACCTTCCTCACCCCCAAAGAAACACCCCAAAGAAACACAACTTCATTTTCCCTGAAGGTTCAAAAAAAAAATTTGGGTTAACTTTCATTTGTATGTCATCTGCTGCAGTGCCCATGCACTTTCCCAGTTTCTCTGTTCTTGCTAGTGAGACTTCCCGAATCCATGCAGCAGCCAGACCAAAGCAGTTCAGATAAACTCAGGATAATGAGTCCTCCCAGGATTCTGGGAGGTGCTTTATCCAACCTTCTCAACCTTGGGAGGGTGGCACCAGAATGTGTAAACATATTTAAGTAGATATAGAAACCTCATCACCCAGGAAAGGAGCAACCTCCCCTGGGAGAGACAGGGAAGCTCCAAAGAAATGGGGACAAAGAGGTGGTAACAAATGCTTTTGTCTCATATCCACCTCCAAGCGTCAGCCTCACATAATCCTCCCAAACACTCCTCCCAGTGGTGTTTCCATTAGTGGTGCAGTGGAGAGGGAAGACAGGTCCTCTTGAAATGGAGCTTGCCAGAGAGACTCAGAAGTTCACTGTGGAGTTCCCTATAATCCCAATTGCCGGTAGGAAAGGTGTGTGGGCGGAAATACCATCTTCAAGGCTCCATGTCTAATTCACCCTCCTCTTGACTCCTGGACATGATCCACTTCTGTTTTCCTGTGGCTGTCTCAGCTCCTAGCCTCCTGGATAATATTCCTGCTACATTCTCCTCTCCTGATATGTACTCCTTCCCTGCTACATGGGTTGGGTTCCAAACCTGGATCAGAAGAGGAACATACCTCACTCTCCCATCCTGCAAGCAGCAATACCAATTCTACCATCAGGGAGGAGAAGACAGAGAGGAGACAAACATCTGTATTCCAATTGAACAGAGTGGCTCTGGCTTGGAGCAAGTGGGGCAGAGATGCCTCCGGGGTAGTGCAGAAAGAGGGCAATCTCCAGCTTGGTTCATTTATCCAGTTCCCCACCCTTAATTTGCCCTTTGTGGGCATTTCTTTGCTCATACACTGCCCATATTTCAGTGAACACCCAACACTTCTACTATCCCCTGCTGGTCATGTTCTGCTGTCTGAACAATGATTGCCCCCACACAATTTTTGTCTCCTGTTTATTCCCTAGCAAGAGCAGAGAGGAAACAATTGGTTAAATACTTATTTAAAGTCCCTTCTCCTGCAGTATGTCTGCAGCAACAAGAAGGGGAATCACATGGGATCAAAACCCCTTCAGTCCATGAATCATAAATTTTGTTAACAAAAATATAGAACCCGTACAAATGGGGAAAAAAACCCCAAAACCCAGCCTTCCCCACCCCTGAAAGAGAGATGGGAGGAATGAGAAAAAAAGAAAACAGTGCCAAGGAATATTTACATTGCCAAGAAAAAACAGAAAATGTAAAGCAGGAAAGAGAAATGAACAGGAGGGAGGAGAAAAATTCCCCTCCCACCCCCTTTCCTCCATCCACATTTGGCACCACAGAGGGACCGGGGACACTGAGAATGGTACGGTAGTTATGGTCAGTGGTGGCCAGCCCACAGGCCTTTCCTTCTGTTAACCACTGTGTTTAGAACCATTACCCAGCAATATAAAACTGTAGAAAAAGAAACAGCAACAAAACTCCAATATAAACTGGAAAATGGTGATACTGTTTGTTCCTGCTGTTCCTGGCCTCCATGAAGAGGAAAAGAGGGAAGGATTCAGGCAGCAGCAAAGAGGTGGACAAACTCCCAAATCCTCCAGGAAAATCAGCTTTATGTTACTGTGTCTATATAGTAGAAAATGGCAGGTGACCCCTCCCCATGCATGTAGTGCCCAACACCATGTGGAAATATCTTTCCTCCCCCTCCCCCTGCAGCTCCCAGGCAGACAGACATGTCAGAGGGAGCAAAAGAAAAATGTTTCAAAGAGACTGAAGCACAGCTGTTGCCATATGGGTTTAGGTCTGTAGCCACAGAGCCTCACCATCTGTACCACAGCACAGCCCGTGTCCACAGAGCCACACCATCCATACCAGAGCACAGCCCATGTCCACAGAGCCACACCATCCATACCAGAGCACAGCCCATGTCCACAGAGACACACCATCCGTACCGGAGCACAGCCCGTGTCCATTGAGCAACGCCATCCATACCAGAGCCCAGCCCGTGTCCACAGAGCTACACCATCCGTACTAGAGCACAGCCCTTGTCCACAGAGGTATGCCATCTGTACCAGAGCACATCCCATGTCCACAGAGCCTCACCATCCATACCATAACACAGCCTGTAACCACAGAGCCACACCATCCATACCACAGTACAGTCTGTATCCACAGGGCCTTGGGTCTCATATCAAAGAACTGTACAGTATTTATCCATATAGCTCATCCATCCTATTAGTGCAGTGGCTATATCCATAAGCCTTATCCTGTATATCAGCCATAATCCCTGTATCAGTGCAACCTATATCCGCACAGTCTTGTGCCCTGTTCAAAACAAACTCTGTATTCACATATCCCATGGATCAAAGCAGATTGTAGCAAAACAACATCCATTCTGCCAAGATAGATCCTATCCATACAGCCATATCCCAGTATCAAGCCATTGTTTGTATCTTGGGAGCCACATCCCAGCATCTGAGCAGTCTGAAACCAGAGCCAAACCCTTGTATCAAAAAGATTTAAAGTCCAGAGTTCCCTGAGCCCCCGGCATGCTGTCCAGAACAGAGGGCCATGGGATCAGTCCATGATGGTGGGCAAGGAGGGCTCTGCCCTTGTCAAACACCTCCAGTCCTTTACTTCCCTTTTGTTAAAAATTAAATGTCAGAATGACAGGTGTGTCCGCCTGGAAACCTGGGGAGAGGTTTTCCTGTCATTTCATTCTCCCCTCCCCTCTCCCATTTGGTAGTAGTGACGGATTCCTCACTGGCAGCATCAATTGTTTGCTTCCCCCTCCTCCTCATCAAAGGACTGCACCCCGGACGAGGTGACATCCGAGACCTTGCGGCTGAGTGCAGCATGTTCCAACTCCTCCCGAGGTGACAGCGACTCCAGGTCCCGGCATACAGCATCGTCCTCCTCTGGAGAGGTCTTCTTGTTTAGCAGCGGGGCCTTCTCCAGTAGTGGGTTCCCTTCCTCCTCTGTATGCACCCCCATGTAAGTGCTGGATTCAGCCCCACTGCCACCCCCTGTGGCAGTCTGAGGGGGCCACATGTCAACGAGCCCTGGGTTCTGGAGCAGGGCCTGTGGTTGCTGCTGCTGCATCTGATGCTGCTGGATGAGGCTACTCTGAATCAATGTGCTCTCCTGCAGGTTGGACTGGGTCTCCTCAAAGTTCTGGCCTAGGTAGGAGCCGGTAGCCGGGGAAGCAATGAGGGACTGGTCGCTGGTCTCCCACGCATCAGAGGAGCCCAGGCAATACATGCCCTGAGAGACATAGGAGTGAGGCCAGCTGTCATACTGTGTCTGGGCCATGTGATCTGCAGAAAGAGAAGGGGAGAGAAAGGGGGAGAGTGAAGGGGGAAAAGAAAGAGTGCAAAAGGAGGAATTGGAGAGAGAGAATGAGAAAGAGAGTGAGACAGAACAAACAGAAACAGGGAGAGACAGAGGGGGCAGTGGAGAACAGAGAGCGGTGTCGGGGAGGACAGGAAAAGAGAGGGAGGGCAAGATGGGAGCCATTGGAAATGGCAGACAGACAGACAAATCTGCAGAACCTGTGTATAACAGGTGATTGATTCCAGCAGATGCTGGCCTCCCCTGCTGTGCCCAGAGGCCCAGGAGAATGGGGTCTGGAGCTTGTCTGCTGGGCCCTGACTCTATAGGAAGCTCCATGAGTGGGGAATATTCCTCTCTCTGCCAGATCTCAACTCACGAGAAAGGGCAATGGTGACCCCCACAGAGGATAAAGAAACTAGTAGAGATGGAAAGGAACCTGGCAGCAAGGATGGGGGAGGGCAGGGATGTCCCAGGACCAGTGGGAGGGGGTAGGGCTCACCCTGGTTCTCCATCAGCTCCTGGTAGTTCTCACTGTAGTTGCTTGCTGGGTTCTCCTGGTTGGAGTTGACACTCACATCCTCACCATCCATGGAGGACCAGGCCATGAGAGTGGCCTCAGAGATGGCAAACTGCTCCATCACCCCTGCGCCAGAGAGAGACAGTGGAGACATGAGGAGCTCCCCACGTACCCCCACCTCACTGACACCCCTGAAACACTGATTCTACCTATTCCTGCCTCAATGATATCCCCTGCTCTGACCTGCCCCTCCTCGCCATGCATATACCCCAGTGAGTCCCCCCTGCCTTCATCTGAGCTGCACCTCCGCACTCCATCTGTGTGCATTCCCCAGCAATTCCCTTCTCTGGCTCTCACAGGCTCCCCTTCCTCTTTCTGCTCTCAGGCACCCCAGTGTGGGGTAAGTCAGGACTACCTGCAAGGAATCGGGCCTCCTTCTCGCCGTCACTCAGGTCTGAGTAGGCATCAGCATCCTTGCGCACCGCTTCATGTGTATGCTGCTGTTGCTGGCTGTTACCTTTGTCCCACCCTTGCCACTCAATCATGTGAGCTACACGACCCTGTCCCATAGCCGTTGGCTTCGTGACGTGATCCTTCATGCTGCGGGATATCCCTAAGGGGCCAGACATCAGAAAACAAGGAGGGGCTATTACACAGCTCCAAGGTTATTTGTCACTCTATTCACCCTTCCCTGGAAAGGGGCTCCCCCATCGTCCCCTGGACTCCTTCCCTTAGATGGTGCCCCCTCCCTCCCTTGCTGTGGGGCTCAAAAGGCCTATTAAGCAACTCCAGGAGTTGTAATTGCTCTCCATACCCCTCCCTGATATTTCATGGATGGGGTCCCATTGGGGGCGCAGTAAGGAAAGGAAGAGAAACCCAGAAGTGAAAGAGCCTGGAGAAAGAATTATCTTTTTTGCCCAGCACAGTGTTAGGGGAACAGTGGGTACAAGGGGCAAATCCCAGAACTGGATGATATAGGAGACTGAAAAAGGGTCTCCTCCCAGGGCAGTCTTGAGGGAAAGAAATTGAAGCGGTCTGAGCATGGGGGCACAGTGTGAAGAGCCGGAGGGGTCTGAGACAAACTTGAAGTTTTAAGAGGCAACAACTGAGATAGGCCTGAGGCTAGGCAGTTGTGGATCAGAGAGGTCTCGAGTTGGGCAGAGCAGTGAGGAGAGGACAAGGGTTAAGGGGCAACAATTAGAAGAACAGTGAGGAGAGGCCTCAGATTAGGGGGCAGCAGTTGGGAGAGCAGCAAGTAGAAGAGGCCTCGGGTTATGGGGCAATGGTAAGGAGAGGTCTCAGGTTGAACAGAGAGTGGGGAGACACCTGGGTTTGTGAGGCAGCAGCAGGGAAAACAATGGGGAGAGGCCCAAGGTCAAAGGGAGAGGAGCAGTGGCAAATAAACCCAGGTTTGAGGTTCTCACCAGAGAAAGATGACTTAGCCAGAGCCCCAATTCCATAAGCATTGGAGTTCCGCTTCAGCTTGGGGAGAATGGAGGTTGTGTCTTCCATGGACAGCTGAAAAGAGAGAGAGCATGAAGGTGTGAAAGAGAGGGAAAGATGAAGGAAAAAGAAAATGAGAGAAGGAGAAGAAGGGGATGGAAATGAGAGATCAGTTGAAGAGTTCAGGAAGGCAGAGGAAAGATGGGAAGCAGAAGCAAATGACAGGAGAAGGAATACAAAGGGAAGGGGAAAAGGGGATGCAATATAATCTGGACAAAGAATCTGCATGACTCCCTTTGCAGGGCTGCATGAGGTAAGAGCACAGTTGGGGGGGAGGCCCCTCTCTGTGGGCATTTGCCCTCCCACCATCTCTCTTTTGATGACTGTGGTGAGTTTTTCTGTATAGTGACTGCGGGTTTGGGGTGGAAGGAGTGAGGGTTGAGGGTGAGGAGGTGTGACGTCATTGACATGAATTATGACCATATAGACCATATAGACCATTGTTGCAACCAAGGTCCTATAGTGGCACCAAATCTTGTACAAAGGACAGGGCCGGCTCCAGGGTTTTGGCTGCCCCAAGCAGCCAAAACAAAACAAAACAAAACAAAACAAAAATGAACAAAAAAAAAGCCGCGATCGCGATCTGCGGTGGCAATTCGGCGGGAGGTCCTTCACTCCCAGGCAGAGTGAGGGACCGTCCGCCGAATTGCCGCCAAATACCTGGAGCCCCTCTCCAGAGCAGCCGCCCCAAGCACCTGCTTGAGAAGCTGGTGCCTGGAGCTGGCCCTGACAAAGGAGGTCATATAAGGTGTCCATGAAAAGGTTATGATTTGCTAGTTATGATTACGCTATCTATATGCATGGTTCATTTTTGTATTTAGAGTTATAGGTACACCACTACCCCAATATAACATGACCCGATATAACACGGGTTCGCATACAAGGCGGTAAAGCTCTGACACGCTGCTCTGAGCAGTGTGTTAAGGGTGCCGGGCCAGGCCAGGGCCGAGGGGTTGGATAAGGGGCAAAGGGTCTCGGGGTGGTCAGGATCTCCCCCCCCCCCAGTGTCTGGGAGGTAGGAGCTGTGGGGGGGCACTTTTGGGGGGCCCGCAGTCCCAGAGTGGCCCTGGGGATTAGGGGGGGGGGCGGGAGCAGCCCGCTCCATTTCCCTCACTCCAGCCCCAGCTGTGTCGCTCAAGGGAGGGGGTTTGGGGGAAGCGATCCCCCCCACACTCATTGGCAGCAGCAGAAGCGGAGCAGCCCGGCCCCAGCCCGCTCCACTCTGCCACCTCCCAGCCATGGCGCTCCACTTCCCACCGCAGGTGAGTCCTTTCCCCAATCTCCCTACACTCACCTGCGGCAGCAAGCGGAGCGCCGTGGCTGGGAGCTGGCAGAGTGGAGTGGGCTGGGACTGCGTCACTCCGCTTCCTGCTGCAGGTGAGTGTGTGGGGGGGCGTCCTTTCCCCAACTTCCCTGCACTCACCAGCGGCGGGAAGCAGAGCAGCCCGGCCCCAGCCAGCTCCACTCTGTCAGCTCCCATCCGCGGCACTCCACTTCCCGCTGCAGGTGAGTGCAGGACCTTTCCCCAGCCCCCCCTCCTCCCAGCGACACGGCTTGGGCCGGGGCAAGGAAAGTGGAGCAGGCTGGGGCCGCATCGCTCCGCTTCCTGCCGCAGGTGAGTTTGGAGGGCGTCCTTTCCCCAACCTCCCCGCACTCACCGGCGGCAGGCAGCGGAGCAGCCCAGCCCCAGCCAGCTCTACTCTGCCAGCTCCCAGCCGCGGCGCTCCACTTCCCACTGCAGGTGAGTGCAGGACCTTTCCCCAGTCCCCTTCCCACCATGACACGGCTGGGGCTGGGGCAAGGAAAGTGGAGCAGGCTGGGGCCGTGTCACTACGCTTCCCGCTGCAGGTGAGTGCGGGGGGCGTCCTTTCCCCAACCTCCCCGCACTCACCGAAGGTGGGAAGCGGAACGCCGCGGCTGGGTGGTGGCGGAGTGGAGCGGGCTGGGGCCGGGCTGCTCTGCTTCCAGCCGCCGCTGCTGAATGCCTGTCAGGGGGTGGGGGTGGATAGGGAACAGGGAGCAGGGGGGGTTGGGTAGGGGGTCGGGTCCTGGGGGTGATTAGGGACAGGAATCTCTGAAGGGGGCGGTCAGGGAACAAGGAAGGCCAAAGCAAGTTCGATATAACGCGGTCTCACCTATAACACGGTGAGATTTTTTGTCTCCCGAGGACCGTGTTATATCGGGGTAGAGGTGTATTGGCTCTATACTGTCTGTAATTCAAACTTATGTTATGCTTCTGGGTGACACCCCAGACAATTTGGCATTAGCACTGCCTAGCCTGCTTGATGGCCTATTAAGGTTCATCAGCTATACAACTGACCCATTGAGAGAAGGCAGATACACCTTGTGCCTCAGCAAGGCATGCAGAGATATCCCTATGGACAGAACTCTAAGGTTTTTCCTTGCCATGTGCGGGGTGGCTTGTGCTTAGAACAAAGAAAGCACAAGCCACATGCAAAAGGACTATAAAAGGCATCATCATCATCTCCATTTTGTCTTCAATCCTGCTTCTGACCTCTGGAGGAACTGTGCTTGAAACTGAAGCTCTGATCCAAGGACTGAACGACCCATCCCAGCTGTGGATGTACTCCAGAGACTTGATTTGAGCCTGCAGTTTATTCCATCACTGCTACAAGCCGGAACCAAGAACTTTGCCATTACTGTATGTAATTTAACCAATTTTAACTCTCATCTATATTTCTTTCTTTTTATGAATAAACCTTTAGATTTTAGATTCTAAAGGATTAGCAACAGCGTGATTTGTGGGTTAGATCTGACTTGTATATTAACCTGGGTCTGGGGCTTGGTCCTTTGGGATTGGGAGGACCTTTTTTCTTCTAGTGGGACATTGATTTTCTTAACCATTCGTCCCCATAATGAGTGACACTGGTGGTGATACTGGGAAACTGGAGTGTCTAATGGAATTGCTTATATGATTTATGGTTAGTCAGTGTGGTGAGACCGAAGTCCTCTCTGTTTGGCTGGTTTGGTGTGCCTTAGAGATGGAGAACAACTAGCCTGGGGCTGTGACTGCCCTGCTCTAAGCAATTTGTCCTGAATTGATACTCTCAGTTGTGTCCTGCCAGAGGCCTCATCGTTACAGGAGGTGACACAGCACAACAGGTCAGGAAGCAAGAAGCAGTAATAACAGGAGAAGAATATGCTTTTGACCATTGTTTTCTCTCACATTTTAAATAATCTGTATTGAAAAAAACAGAATGAAGAAGCATGTGTCAGCGATGATTCCCTCTTTATTCTGTCCATTCACAGCTACAATATATATATAAACACACAAACAAACAATAATAATGGCCTTATCCTTGTGCCTCCCAGCCATTCCCCTCCCTATGCTCAGCCTCAACTCTAGAGAGAGGGGGACACAAAACGACCACGTGAGCCAGGGGTTAATTGGTGTTTGCTCATAAATTCCAGCCAAAATAATCAGACTTTGGGGTTGCTTATAAAATTGAGCACCTATGGGCTGATTTTCACAGGGGCTGAGCAACCACTGCTCCCACTCCCACCAATTACAGGTGAAGATATAGGTGAACAGCCCTTCTGAAAATCATAAGAGCATAAGAATGGTACTGGGTCAGACTAATAGTCCATCTAGCACAGTATCCTGAACAGAACAGGACAATCATCAAGTGATCTCTGTCGTCCACTTCAAAGATGGAAGTGGACAAAGGAGGTGAATATGATTTCAAGGCTGATTGTCACTGGTGGAATAGAGGGCAATGTGATAAGACTCAAGGTGAAAGATTTAGGCCAGAGTAGAGCTGTGTAGGGTGTTGATAAAAAGTGTGGTGGACAATGAAAAGCCAATGTAGGGATTCAAGGTGTGTGTGTGTGTGTAAGAGAGAGAGAGGGAGAGTGTTCCTTATCCCCTGACAGTTGTGGCAAAACCTACATCTAGTACCTGGCTTCACTTGTATATTTCCCTCCTTGGGTATCGATTTATTTCAGCTGACCAACAAGAAAACATGTACTTTCTTTTGCATAACCCTTCCCCTTCCTCTCCCCCACCCCAGCTGTGGACAATCATATAAGTATGAACAGACCTGTGAAGGGCAGAGAATAAAATTATGCGATGGACAGGGCCGGCTCTAACTTTTTTGCCGCCCCACGCAAAAAAGAAGAGTGCCGCCCCCGCCCGCGAGCGCCACGCCGTGCCGCCGTACCCCCCCCAGTGCCGCCGAAACTCCCTCGCCCCCCCAGCACCACGCCGCCTGAATCCCCGCCCCCCAGAACTCCACGCC